GGGAAGGGAGGGGAGAGGAGAAGAAGGGGGGAGGGGAGGAGAGAAGAGGAGAGAAAGGGGAGGGGAGGGAGGGGAGAGAGGGGAGGAGAGAGGAGAGGAGAGGAGAAGAAAGGAGAGGAGAGGAGGGGAGAGATTTGGACACATGGAGTTGGTTGCTGTCCAGTGGACGTGTGTGGAGCTGCACTGCGGTTTGGGGAACTAAGGAGCCTGCGGGGAAGGGACAGGGGCCCCCAAGTCTCCTCTAAGGGTAAGGTGATGCTGTCAATTAGCTGCTGCTGGAGCATCGGATTGGGGGCGTGAAGGTGTTGCCCAGTAGGCAAGGTCCCCACTTAGTGTCCCCAGGTGCCAGCAGGCCAGCGCGGCGGTGGCTGCCGAGGTGTCGGGGAGGAGCCGGCTCTCCAGGGAGTGGGAAGAAGAAGCCACAGAACCCGGGCCCTGGGCTGAGCTCATGTCTGACCACCTCCCTCCCATTACTGCTCCAAAGGCCGAATGTCTCTCTTTGTTCCTTTGCTTCAAGGGCCTCGATACCAGCAGTGACTCCGAGAGGTGGGTACAGCGCTGGCGTCTCCTGGCCTCCACATTTAGACCACCTGCAGCGCCCTCACTGTCCTTCCCGCACTCGCTGGCCAATCATCGTCAGGGCCTCCTGACTCTCCCCTCCACTCCCCGAGCACCCCGTACACTTCCCGGGGATCCCCAGGGTCTCCCCATGGTCCAGCCCCTGAAAGGTGAAAAGCAGGGGCCTGCTCCGTGCTGCCATTCTGCCCGGCTGGTGCCCGCGCACTAGGGGCCTTCACATTGGGTAGGTCTCCGGTCACACTCCATCAGGCCTGGCCCCTGAGGGCAGGCCGGTCTGCTTCTACCGTCTCCTCCTGGCAGGACTCCGACAGGCATTGGCGGGCAGGCGCTAGTCCCGAGCTAGTCTCAGTGCGGGCTTGGCGCTGCCAGGCCGGGCCGGCCGCAGCACCCACAGGAGGGAGGCCTCCTCTCCCAGAGCGCCAGAGGCTCAGCAGGGCAGGCCCAGTCTTTCACATTAAAACGAATATGAATATAACGAGGAGGAGGGAGCGGAAGTCTTAAGTGTCAAAGGGAGACAGACAAAGACATTTCAGCTTCTCACTGTGGCCCGACTCCCCTGCGGCAGGAACACATTGGAAGCTCCAAGTGGAAGTCTTGCCAGAAAAAACGAAGTTCAGAGAGAGGCTCTGAGGTCAGACCAGGTGAAAGGAGGTGGGAACAGGCGGTATCGGGCACTTCCTGTGCGCCGCCCCGGTGGTCTGCGTGCACCACCCAGGCAGCCCCGGCAGCGGCTGCGTGGAAAAGTCCCCTCTCCCACAGATGACAAGACCGAGACAGAGAGCAGGAGGCACCTCCCGTGCCCACACGGCCAGGAAATGTGGGTGGGATGCGAGCCGAGGGCAGTCCCTCAGCCAAGGTGGATTGAGATCCCGTTGACCAAGCTCACGAAGCACCAGTGGTGAGTGGGCAGCCCCTGCGTCCTGCTGCCCGCTGTCAGCTCCCTGCGGGCAGGGCCGAGGCTAGTTCTGATCACTGCTGTGCCCCTCTCCCCGCCCGGAGCTGGGCCCGCAGCACGCGTGCAGGGCATATTTGGGGGTTGAGTGAGTGAACTGAGACAGCATAAGAATGACATGGATCAAGGTATAGAATGGCAGCTACTATGTATTGAGAAGTTGCTGTGTGCTGGGCAGTTCTAGGCACTTTATACCAACACATTTAATCCCTCAACAGCCTGAAGAGGTAGAGCCATTATTAGCCCCGTTTTTCAGATGAGGAAACTGAGGCACAGAAAGGTTAAGAGACTTGTCCAAGGTCACACAGCTGGAAGTAGGAGAACCAAGCTTTGCAGCAGACAGCCTGGCTTCAGAGCCCAGGCTCTTCAGCATTTTGCGCATAGGAGGTGCCCAGTAAAGGGTTGTTGATTGCTTGTCTGAGACCACAGATGGGTAGAATAGCTGAGCGAAAAAGAGCCTCAGAGAGTGCTGAGTCCTCGGGAACTTCCATTTTTTAGGTGGAAAACCTGAGGCTCTCCGAGTTCCCTGCGGAGATCCGTGGGGGAGGTGGCCTGGGATCTGCTCCCCCTCCAGCAGGTTCCCAGCTCCCTGTACCTGATCAGCCAGACAGCCCCCAGCTCCTCCGCTGCCGGTGACACGCTTCCCTAGCAATCCCCTGGGGCACACAGTCCGGATCTTCTCCTGCTCCGAACCCTCCCCTCAGCACAAGGCATCCCTCTGGGCAGTGGGCGCCCAGGGGCCTGGTAGGGCCACCAGAGACTAGAACACGCCTCTAAACAACGTGTGACCGTGTGACCGGGCCGCTCCTTTGGGGTGACCACAGCCCCGGGGCAGGATGGCAGCTTCCCTGGTCTGTTGCTGGAGCCGGTTCCCAGAGCCTCAGGGCAGGACGAGGTCCAACCTCCTTATTTCACAGAGGGGGACACAGCAGGAAGGTCCTACAGGGCCCGGGACTGTACCTTTGCTGCTTGGCCAATACTAGACGGTGATATTGTGCTTTTTATGTTCAACCTACTTTCAACAACCCTATGAAATAGGAAGGATTATTATTTCCCATTTTACAGGCGAGGAAAGCAAGCTACAGGGAGTTGGTAGGGTTCCCAAGGCCCCGCAGGTGGAGGAGCAGAATGCAAATCCAGGAGGTAAGCTCCACCCCTTTATGCTCTTCCCCAGTGTTCCCCTCCTGAGAACTATTCCGCCATTATTGGCAAAGCTCGAGATCATCGCCAAAGAGGCAGCCCCCTCCCCAGACCCTGCCTGCTCTTTGCTTTCGTAAAGCATTGCATCCGATGGCATGGGGGGTGGGGGGGAGTGGTGGTGATGTGGGGAGCGGAGGGGAGGAGATGGGAGGAAACACAGAGGAGCGAGGGGAAGATGAGGAGAGTGGAGACAAGGGAGGAGAGAGCAGGCAGAGAGCAGGCCCTTCCTGCAGCTTGTCTCTCATCTCCTGGCCCCCTCTGCTCAGGGCTGCCGTGGACTAACTCTTCCCCTGGCAGCGCCTGGCGCTGCTGGCTTTGCCTTGTTCCCAGAGATGCTTTGAGCGATCTGCAGCTTTGAGCCCTTGAAGAGCGGTGAGCAATCGTTAACCAGCAGGCACATACCTCAAACGGCCAGAGATCAGGCCAGAGATCATCGTGTGCGAAGAGGCCCTGGTGAGCAGAAGTTGGACCCTTTCAAACACACGGACCCTGTCTCTCAGGCCAAACGCCATTCAGGGCCCTCGCCCTCGTGCGAGCGTGGGCACCCCTCAGTCCTGCTCCCTGAGCTGACCTTGCATGTCGCCTCCCGTCTTTCCTCCATGCCACCCCTCGCGAGTGTCGGCATCTCTGTTCTGATGAAAGTCCGCGGGCCCTCCTTCCTAACATAACAAGCGAACATTTTCCTGCTTCTCCCTGGACGGAGCCCTGAGCAGCACTGCCCTGCCCCCGGCCCAGGCCGGGTGTGGGTCTGTGCGGATCTCAGGGCGGGGCCCGGTGCTCACCTGCAGAGACAAAAAAGATGCCCGCGCTGAGGATGACGTTGTGCCTGCTGCGGTGGAACTCGCTGGCCGCCACGCAGAGGCCGCCGAAGAAGAGCAGCGTGACGCTGAGGATGGGGAAGACGCTGGAGGCCCTCACAGCCCCTGCGGAGAGAGAGGGAGAGGCCTGCCTGTCCCAGCAGCCCAGGGCCCCCGCCCCACCTCCCCGCCGCCCCGGCACGGATGCCTGAGGGAAGCCAGCGTGTGCTGGGCAGAGTCTGCATCCGCGTGGGCTCCTCTGCAGCAGACCCTGAAACTCAGAGTCATTTAGCTTTGGATTTGGGTAAGGAAGTCTGATGGGCCAGCGCAGCTACCCAGGGCTACAAGCCTCACTCACGTGAGATCCCCCCCCCCACCTCCCACCTCCCCTTCTCCTGGGGATGGGTCCTCAGCTGCCCACTTCCCTGCCCAGCCAGTGAGCACAGCCGCTGTTTGCTCCTGGTGGGGGTTGGGCACGGGCACAGGAGAAGCAGGGCCCCTCTGAGTGTCCCTGCAGGAGGGAGTGTGACAGCGAATAGCAAGTATAAGGCACTGTGCCAGGATGACAGGTCGCAGAAGAAAAGGACGTTTTGTTTTGCCCACATTTCGAACCAGGAGCCTGCATTTCATGTTGCACGGGGCCCTGCAAATCCATGGCCAACCCCGGTCCCTGGACTCCCACCGATCACACGCTAGTCACCATCACGCAGGCTCTTCCCAGCGCACACCTACGCTTCACAGCACTGGGCTGCGTGCATGTGTGAGAGGCGTGGCTATGCGGTGCGTAAACGTGGCTGTTGCCCTGTGGTGCCGTCACTGCGTGGTGACCGGTCTGTGGCCAGCCCACTCCCCGGAGCGCTCGGCTCCACTTGCTGCCTCACGCCGCACGCCAGCCGTGCCGTTTCTTCCTGTTGGCTGGTGTCCACTCTGGATTTGTTTTAGCCCAGGGAGCACGTGGTGGCTTCCGAACAAAAAGGCTTTACTGTTTTCTTCCCCAACCACCAGGGCTGAGCAGGGGTCTTCAGGGTGGGGAGGGATGCTTATCACCAGTGACCTCACCATCGGTGCCTGAGCAGGGCTGGCCGAGCCCAGAGGTCTCTTAAGGGGCATCTCTGGTCCACAGGAATGTGTGTGAACAAGCCTCCCACCACAGGTGTAAGCTGTCGCCCACCCACAGCACACGGGAAGGAGTGGACGGCAGAAGAGTCAGGGTGCAGAGCCCTGTCCCGCCACGTGTGGTCACACCAGGACCTGCTGTCGCCAGCACTGGGGCTGGCGCCCCTGCGGGAACATGACCCTGTGTGGCTGGGTCAGTGGCTCCAAAATTCTCAGCAGGAAATCCGTGTGCTGAACCCCTTAACCTGGCTGCTTCCGTGGCTGAGGGTGGAGCACAGGTGGGCTGTGGTGAGGACCCCGCCCTTCCAGAGGCAGAAACTGTGCTTTGTCGTGGACCACTCCCAAGAGCTGTGGAGCGGGTTTGCTGGTTGTGAAATAGAAGTCACAGTTCCATTTGGTCTCCAACGAGGCAAACACCACAGCCTCATCAGGTGGGAAAGAAAACAGAGAAAAACTCCGAGCACTCGGGAGAAACCCCACTGGGAGGGACTGTAAAGTCCTCTTTGGAGGGGTCCAAGGACTTGGGTCAAGCCACCTCCCTAAGCGTGGCTTGCATTCCCCACACCAGTCTTTCCAAGCTGCTGGCATAAACTCATCCGAGTAGGCCTTTGGGTAAATGCTAGTAAATGGATAAGGACTGAAAAGAGATAAGTGGTACGTTTATGTTGTAAACATTAGCTTAAATATGACTGTTTCTTTCAAATTGACCCTTGCACCGCTCACATTGTTATGTGACTAAAGGCTCCTACATAGACCCACAGCCCATCTGCAGACTAGCGGGTGTGAATAGAGCTAAAAATGATTTTAATTGTAAAAACACTCATCTTGAGCGATGAGTTACACACATACTCTGAATAGGACAATTTCTCAAAGTTCTTATTTTAATAGCAGTTTTAAAAACAGCCACCTTGCATTGAACACTCCCCTCGAATTCCCCTTTCAGGCGAACTGGGTACACATGCCTGTTGGAGAAGTTACATTTCAATTACACTAAGTCCCAAGTTCTCCTTGTGCCTGCGCAGGGCCTTGCTATTGCTCATCTCACGCAAGGAAAAGAGCTAAATGGAGTGGGCGTGAGCTTATTTACTAGTAATTGTCATGACCCTGTCAAAGGGATGACATTATAATCTCATTTCTGATGAGATAAAGAAATCGAAGCGATGGAGAGATCGGCGGCTTGGCCCAGGTCCATCCCCGCTGGCAGGGAGCCAGACCGGCACTCGAGTCCACAATGACCGGCATCCAGAGACCTTGCTCTAAGCCACCACACTCCGCACCTCCGCCTGCTGTGCTTGGGACAGTCCGTGTCATTTCTGGGTTATGACCTTGGGACAATCCTAGGGAGACACTGGCCCTGCCCTTGTAGGACTGAAGTCAAAGAGAGGTGAGCTTTGCTTTTCATTTATTCCCCCAGGTCTTGCCCCTAGCACCTCGCCATTAGCACCTCGCCCATTAGCACTTTTCCATTAGCACTTTCCCCATTAACACCTCACATCCACCCTCTGGGGAAGGTGCAAACTTGGATGCCAGTTAAAGGAAACGCCTTAGATTTCCTCCCAAGCAGACTACAAGGCATCTCCCTGTTGTGACTGGCCCACTTCATTCCCGGTTTCCTGTTCAGTGAAAGGAGAGACTTGGCTATCAGAACCGCCTGAATGTCTGTCTAGCAGCAAAGGTCCCCTGAAGGCTCCTTTGCACGCGTCCATTTCTAGGGGGAGCTCTGAGCAGCCCCAAACTCAGAGGCAGCTGGGTGACTCCAGGGCACCTTCCCTCCTCCCTGGGGAGACCCGGGAATGGGGCAACTTACGAAGCAGATACTCAGCGGTGTCCTGTTCATAGTCAGCATCATCTGGGAAGTGGTCGATTTTCTTGCAGACCCCTCGGAACGCCCCTGTGGGAACAAACGTGGTCCTGAGC